GGGCCCTAACCTGCTGAACTTTCCTCACACGTGGTAGAAGTGAACGAGATAGCTGCTGCTACTGTTTATGCTGCTCTCCCTGATGAGGCATCCACGACGGACTTCGAAAATTCAGGCGAAGGAAAGCCTTGCTCCAGCGATCGCATCTTCTTCTTATTGTCAATTACTCCCTCAGACGCGCATGTTCGCTTGTATTGGTAACATGGGGACTGATAGTCGGGTGATTGACCGTATGTGATGAGAAGGGCGTGGTCCTTGTGAGCATTTCTTCTTCATCAGTTCTGTTAATTGTGCATTATCAATCCAGCAGGTGTCTTCGTCAACCGCAGAATCGTTTGGTCACCGCTGGTAGCAGTAACATGACGCCGAGCCTAGCAAGGATCCTTCAGGCGACTGCAAATACGCCGTTGTTACGGCAGGCTTTGTAACAGAGTCTGAACACGTGATCGTGGCACCTAGCGGTGATATGCGAGCACCGAACACGCTGCCGTGCAGAGTTTGCACTTTAGGTGGCCTATGAAGGACGGAACTGGGTGCGTTCGAAACAGTTGACCTTGTGGTGTGTATGTGTGTGCATAGGAGAAAGTGACCCGACGTCATTAACATTTTGCATAATTCCAAAACACGATGGGAGTCTTTGTACACTTAGCCGTTGCCACGCCAGACCGCACCTCGCGATAAGGGTGGTGTGCCTGTGTGAAATTAGAACGCCTAACTGCAAATGTGTCAAAGCCGTCTCACCTTGCGACATGTTCGATTTAAACTGTGTGTCTCGGGTCAGTGTTGCATATAGAAGTGAGTTACAGCATTTACATGTTGACGCAATCCACGGCAACTAGTATAGGTTTAAAATGTTAGTCGCAGGGCTATGATGCTGGCTGTTTATTTGGACCACGCAAAGGCAAGCAGGTTTGCAGAATTTTATGACGTCATCCAATTTCGTGACCTCTTATTCAACTGCATGCGCTCATTGACTGACCTGCAGAATTGCGCTTAGTATTCCTAAAATTTAGGTCTGAGGATAATTTCCCCTGCGGAACTCCAGTCCTCGTTTTAGTATTACGTCCATTAAATCAGCTAGCGGAATGAAAAAAACATGACTACTTCTCTGACAAGTCTTTATCATACAGCTCTAGAGCTGG